ATACTAATTAAGAGAACAAAATCTCATCTTTACTCTTGCATACATAGATTTTTTTTTTAAATAGAAGCTGCAGGAGATCAGTCTGGATTGCATAGATGTTAACTGAAATTATGCTTGCAAAGGCGGGGAGAGAGAAAGGGAAAACAAACAAATCTTGCATTCACCATTTGCAATCAGTAGCAAAAGGAGGCTACAGATACAACCATTCTCCTTATCTGAAGATTTTTAATTTTTTCTTTTAAAAAGCAGTCAGTGTTAAATGAAGATATGCAAATATACCCTTTCCTGTCCTGAAATACTTAGCGTGAAGGCTAGCCTTGCAGAATTTAATGCCAGTAGGAACACTTCCTGTCCATCGGTTCAGAAGAAATGGAAAGCAAAAAGCAAGTGAGATTTTTGTCTCCCAAAGCAAAACACCTTGTTTGTTCGATTGGGATTTTCAAGAGGCTTGTAGTTTCCCTATCTGAGGGCCTCTTCATATACAGTGGTACCTCGGGTTACATACGCTTCAGGTCAGGGCACCGACTCCGCTATACCCAAAAATAGTGCTTCAGGTTAACACTTTGCTTCAGTTGAGAACAGAATCGGGCTCCGGCGGCGCAGAAGCGCAGCGCCCAGCAAAGTGGTACTCAGTTAGAACAGTTTCAGGGACTACCTCGCGGACGAATTAAGTATACCTGATGACTACCTGTATCAGCTGCCATTGCAAGGTACAGGAACTGTGGCCACAGCCAATCAAGTTCTCAATCCTGGAGCTGCACAAGGATACACACTTGGCCTCTCTGCCTCCTGTCTCAACCTTGACTTTCTTTGCAAGTGAGCTGGTACACTCCATTTCCTATGGAGAAGTGTCAGGTGAGCAGAGCACTTTTCTCCTTTTCTGGCTCAGCACTTCCTCTCTCTCTAACCATGCTCCCCACTCCAGCGAAGAATTTCAGATCTGTATTTCGAAAGTAAATCTATAGATCTGGATCCTGCATTTGGGGGGAAATGTAGCGGGGAGGGATTTCAGGGAAGAAAACTGGGGGGCAAGCCCAATTACACCACAAAGAACTCATAACCCACCTACTTTCAGCAGCCAGAAACACCATAACCAGACACTGGAGAGACCTGTCAGGAGTAAGCATGGACCAATGGTACCAAATAGTATGGGAAACAGCCTTACTAGAAAAATGAACCAATAAACTGAAACTGACACGGGGACAAACAGAAGAAGACGCCTTTACCCCAGTATGGCTCCCCTTTATCACATACACAGCCCAACAAGACAATGACAATAATCCACCAACAGCATACAAATCAATATGGCTAACCTGATCCAAAACACCCACCCACCCCACTCACACACGAAAACAAAGACCACCACAGCCAACCACAAACAAATAACCACGCCCTAGGCCAACCCCAACATCTCACCACCAAAGGAACACAAATGAACAGCATAAGCAATGCTGACACCAAACCCTACATAAAGGTAAAGGTAAAGGTACCCCTGCCCGTACGGGCCAGTCTTGCCAGACTCTAGGGTTGTGCACTCATCTCACTCTATAGGCCGGGAGCCAGCGCTGTCCGCAGACACTTCTGGGTCACATGGCCAGCGTGACAAGCTGCATCTGGCGAGCCAGCGCAGCACACGGAACGCCGTTTACCTTCTCGCTGGTAAGTGGTCCCTATTTATCTACTTGCACCCGGGGGTGCTTTCAAACTGCTAGGTTGGCAGGCGCTGGGACCGAACGATGGGAGCGCACCCCGCCGCGGGGATTCGAACCGCCAACCATGCGATCGGCAAGTCCTAGGCACTGAGGTTTTACCCACAGCGCCACCCGCGTCCCGATAAGCTACATACATTAACCATAATAGAAACATCGACACCCGACCCCACCCCCACCCATCTTTCCCCCCTCCACCCCTTTTTTCCCGTCCCCCTAATGTCTCAACAAATGAAACGGATTTGTAAAAATGTTACATTGGAAAAAATACGAGAGACATTACACATACTTCTGTAAAACAAGAAAATCTTTAATAAAAAATAAAATAAAATTGCAAAACTGGGGGTCAAAAAGAAGGGTCCCTCGTGCCTATGCTATAATTCCCTGTGAAGCAAGGTTGCAAAACTAGCAACTTTTTTGAGAAAAGACAAGTAAAAGATGACATGATAGAAGTTTAGATAACTATGAATGGCATGAAGAAAGTGTTATGTATTCAGTGGTCTGTGTTTGCCTGAGCTTGAGTCTGGACTAAGGGTTCTGAGCCCCTGTGTCCTGATTCGATACATGATATTCAATCACAGAACATTTCAGGGTGTGGGCCTCTGCCATTGGCCCTTAAATTCTGAGTCACGATTCGCAGCTTGGAAGTTTAGACAGCCAATCAGGTTTAGAGAGCCAAGCAGGCCTTCAGAAATGTATATAAGCAGTTCTTTTGCCCCTGTTGTCCAGTTATGTTAGTTCAATAAAGGTTATTGCTGTTATCACTGTGTCTTGCCTCGTGGGAACCCACCTACACTTCACAAAGTGGATAGAGAAAAGTTTTTCACCCTCTCCCCTAACACTAGAACATGTGGATGTTGAAAGTGAATGTTGGATAATTCAGGACAGATAAAAGAAGCTACTTTTTCCATGCAGCCCGTAGTTAAATTATGGACCTCAGGAATTAAGGAAGCAGTGATGGGCATCAACACGGATGGCTTTAAAGGAGGATTGGACAAATTCATGAAGGATAACGCTATCAGCAGCTACTAGCCAAGATAGCTGTGCTCTTCCTCCATGGTCAGAGGCAGTAATGCTTCCAATCGCTAGTTGCTGGAAGCCACAGGAGGGGAGAGGGCTCTTGTGCTCAGGTCCTCCTTGTGGGCTGGCTTCCCACAGGAATCTGGTTAGCCACTGTGAGAAAAAGATGCCAGATTAGATATTGCTGTGCCCCTGCTCTCTTCAGCGAGGCTCTGAGGACAGGAGGTGGAGGCAGAATGTCTAGTCCCATTTTCACTCTATGAGTCACACCCCACAAACTGGTGTTTGTCACATTTCATATACGCTGTACATTAAACCTGTTGGGCTGCTGACTGATGCCTTGACAGATAAGAGACAATTGTCTTGTGTTCACCTCAGGGGAGCAGAGCAGAGTGAGGCCCAGCAGCTGCAAGCCTTCTCTTGTTGCTTCAGAGATTTTCAAGGGAGAAGGGAAGCTCACTGAATCTGCACCACAAGTCTATCCTTGGGATACATGCCATACATTTAGGCCTTAGCTCTGCACTTTTGCCTGGCTATTGCTTAACACAATTTGTTTTTCATTCTTATGTTTATACCCCGCCCTTCCTCCAAGCAGCTGGATGTGGCGTTTATGGTTCTTCCCCATTTTATCCTCACAACAGCCTTGTGAGGCAGTTTAAGCTGAGAGGCAGTGATTGGTCCAAGGTCCCCCAATGAGCTTCACAACTGAGTAGGGATTTGAACCCTGGTTTTTCAGTCCAGCACTCTAACCATTATGCCACACTGGCTCTCTTTGTGTGCCTTCTCTGCTCATGTTGTGTTCAAACACTTCTACCTTCCCTAAGACAGAGTCCAAAGTCGTATTGAAAATCTGTGCCATAAAAATAGCGCTTTCCTTGGTGTTCAGTCACATGTTCAAGAAATACATTTTTTATTTTCCTTGACTTATCTTGCAGTTTCATAGGGTAGCTTTCAGTGCAATAACGGCTAACCCTAAATTGGTGTTTGGCTATTGTTTTCCAATTAAATCCTTTTCTGGGGGTGGGGGAGGGTCTTCAGCTCAGGACTTTGGAGGGTCGTATTGATTGTCTGTTATCTGTCAAGGCATCAGTCATCAGCCAAGCAGCTCTCTGCTGGAGACTGCCCTGTTTTTTACAATTAGCAGTGGAAGGCTTTTGTCACTGTACAATGATGTCCTGGCTGAAACCTAAACCCACAGTTTGTGCGGGGGGGGGGGAGGGAGATGTTTTCTGTGTTAAAGGAAGATCTAAAAACAAAGTGGCTGCACAGTGGTGGTTTTTAAAGGGAAGAACCACATTGTACAGTCATATATTATACTTTAATTCATTCTACTGTGTTTATTCCCATTATCTACATGTTAGGGTGTTTCATTTCCACCTGAAAGATGTATCTTACTTACTCCAGAGATTTTTTAATGTGCAGACGCAGAAGACACCATCTGTTAGTTAATATCACACTTTATGCTCAATATTTAAAAACAAGATCTACTGGGAGGAAAGCCAATGTTTTTACACACAGAGACACACACAGAGAGACACAGACACAAACACTCATTTAAGTAACCATTTCTTAAGTAAGCCATTTAAGTAATCAAATCAAGTAAAATTTAAGACTGATATTGTGAGATTTTGTAACAAAACAGAGCTCAAATTAGGGGACTCTTAATAAAATTGGCAAGCTTGACTCATGACATCTCCTAGTTCTTGCCAAATCAGGCTTGCCCTGTAGCCTTCCAAGTCAATAGCTAAAGGGATGTCCAAAAAGGTAACCCACTGTCTCAGTTCCCTTGTGGAAAGAACAACAACACAGAAAATCTTCAAATATTCCAAATTATGCCTAGTTTGCACCACTACATATCATTCACTCCCAGCTCAGGCAACCTAGTAGTGATTATCAACTCACCAGGTATTTAGCAATGTTAAATATTCCTAGATACAGGAGACCATTTTCAACGGTTAGGTTAAATGCTTTGCCACTGGCAGCTATGGAAAATCGATTCACTATGCAGCCTTTGTGTCTGAGAGTTTGTCCTTGTGAAAGTGGCTCAGTTGAAATGTCAGGCCATGTTCTTCTATATGGTATTTTTTTAATAGGAATATAAGACCCTGATATATTTCCCCTGTGCTTTCTTTACACTTGGGGAACTCAGATGAATGTTATGAGTAAATCATAATGGCAGATTAAGAGAACAGAACTGGCGAAACTGATGGGAAGGATCCAGAACCAGCGGGACCAAGCATTCCAAAAAGACTGGAATAAATTCATATTATATTTCTGACCACTTTAATAGAAATTTGAATTGCAAATCAATATATAACCAGAGAATACAAAAAAACCCAATTCTGACAATGCTATTATTGCCTTTGCAACTCGCCTGGGAATAATAGGCACTCCTTTGTACGTTAGTACTACCATTTTTCAAGTTCTGGGGTTGGGGGAGAAATTGAGAAATCCAAAAATGCTTGGCGGAGGACAGTGATCGTCAAGACTGCTAGCTTAGCTCTACCGACTGTGCCTCTGTTGTTTTGTATTTTATATACCATCTGTGTACACAGAAATAAAAGTTACAACCAGTATTGTGCCGATACCGTGTTGCAGTTTGGTTTCTTGACAGCATCTGCCTAAACGCTGAAGGGAAGCCCAGCTTTTTAAAAGAGATGCTAGACATTAAGATGAAGAAGAGGTAGGAGTGGGCGGGATTGGACCACCTAGGCACACAAACGCCTGCTGAGTTCAACCAAGCGTTCTGAGACTAGCAACTTTCACTTCGTTCTCAAGCAGCCTTCTAGCCCGAAGGACTGGGAAGACAGGCTTGAAAGCAGCGCCTGACTGGATACTCGGAGGTAGAAGGCATGCCGCTTTGTGCGTCTTCAGAATTTCAAGTGTTCAAAGGCTTTAATTGCTTTGCCTTCTTTCCCCATGACTAAAAAAAGCAAAAAATAATATGTGCACTAAGCAGCTAGAGGTTTAACTGGATGAATCAGTTAACATGAATCAGGTGACAAAGATACCGGCTTTCTTTGTGACAGGGTCCCACGAGGAAAGTTGCCACCGGTGACCATGAATTTTAGCTCTGGCGACCAGCAGGGCTTATACACTACAGGTATAATTTGATTTTTTTTAAAAAGCCACCAGGAATGCAGATCAGATATGGCTGGAGAGTTTTCCACATCTAGAAGTTCAGAGGAGGAACTGGTGACCCTAACTGAGCTGTAGTAGGTCTGCGAGCTGCAAAATTGGGAGGGGGGTATTTTTGCCTTCTTTGTAGTGCATGTGGCTTTGGAGCATCACAAATGGCTTTTGAAACCTGCCCTTCAGGCAAGGCCAAGTTTCTAATTTATAAAGCAAAAGGAACCAACTTCCACGTCTGCTAAAGGCACACTAAAGGTGACGTGGGAGAGAGACCTGGAAGAGGCCATAGATGAGGACATTATGGGTGCAATTATGAATCTCTTTCTGCCAAGATATGTGAAAATACATTGAAGGGAGCAGGGGCGTCAACCTGCCCCCCACATTGGGGGGGGGGGCGCATCACATGGCGCGTCCGCTCCCAAATAGCGTGCCGGGCCGGGACACACTGGAGTCCCGCCCCCGCTGCTGTGATGCCAGCGCTCAAATGGCTGCCTTCTCCCTACACAGCATTGGGCAGGAAGAGGCAGAGCGCAGCCCCCAGGACCCACGCTCCGCCTCCTATCCACGCAATATCGGGCGAGGAGGGGGAGCGGACCACAGGGTTTTGGGGGGCTGAAGACTCCTTGATTTTTTTTGGGGGGGGGGAAGCTGAAGACTCCTCAGCCCCCACTACCCGGCACGCCTGCAAGGGAGACCGTTTTGGTGGTCTGAGCTTATAGGAACTGTAACAGGGGAAAGGGGCCGAAGCAGTCCAGATGCTGTTGAACTACAAGTCCCATCAGCCCCAGCCAGTATGGTGAACAGGCCAGGATGATGGGAGTTGTAGTGTAACAGCAGCAGCAAAGCCAAAGGTCCCTTTCTCTCTCCCCTCCAAAATCTAAAATGTTAAGGGCGCCCCTCGCAGAAAGGCAAGAGGTCAACGGGAAGTCTCAGAAGTGAGGTGTCAAACCTTACGGTAACTGTAATCCTGAAACTGGCGCCAGCCATAGGCAGCATAGAGAGAAGAGGGACACATAAAGTAGACGTCCTGTAGGAGCCTAGATCCCCCCTCACAGGAGCTACGTCATCGAAATGGCATGAATGTCACTAAAGGGTCCATAACGTCCATAAATGTCCTTTGACTGGATGGTAAAGTAACACTTGGAGCAATCAGCAATCTGGGCTAACGAGCAACCCATGGGGAGAGGCATGGCCTTAATTTCCCGCACCCTAAGCCAGCTGGTCGGCGCACCTTTACCGACGAGCTCCAGGCAAACGAACAAGTGGAAGCTGTCTAGAGGAGCACACCATGGTTCCACCTTTCTGACCTCCCACCGCAGGCCAAAGCCTTTGGGCTTCTCCACCTGAACCACAGTGAGGTGCAGCTTTTGAGGTGGACGGGTATATCTGAATCTGGACAGGCTCTCCAGCTGCTGCTCAACCTGCGGTAACGGAGGGAGGTGCCGAAACGCTTCAGGGACCTCATTTGATGTTTGCAGCACAGGCTGAGGATGATTTAGGACCAGGCTTTCTACGGGTGAATCGGTTTTCTTAGTAGCACAATCTTGGGAAGAAGAAGGTGTCCCATCTTTGTTGCTGTCATCTCCATCATCAGTCAAATCAATAAATAATGGGTCCTTAGAGCTGCATGGAGTTTCAGCTGAAGTAGAGGCATTTACAGAAGTTTCTTTCTGCTGAACACCTGTAGGATTCACTGTTCCCACGTCTGAGCTTTCTTTTCCCCCAGAAAGGCATATAATGTCTTCGGAGCTTTCTGTGTTTTTAGGGATAGCTTTGTTAAGATTGGATGGCTTCTCTTTTGACGGTGCTGGCATGCTGTTTGCATTGCCATGCTGAGGGCTGGGGCAATTTATTATTTCAATTTGCAAAGGTGGTCTTGTAGGGAGGGCTTTTCTAGATGATTCTCTCTTCTGGCTTGTTATTACAGCATCAATGCGTCTGTCAAGCCTAGAGATTTTCTTTACAATTTTAATAGCTATCGCTTCATGCTTCCGGAGGCACTGCGTGTTGTCGATTCTTTGCTTTAGAAGTTCGAGTCTGTGATCCAAGGTTTTCACTGACTTGTCCAGCTGACTTTGAATGAAGCATTTGACCTGTTCCAATGCAATATGTCTTTTCTCAGAGCTTTTGTCGCCAACCTTTCTGGCTTCATCGGATTTCTTGATGCATTTGGAAAAGATGCCTTCATTAGTTTCTGAAATTCTCCTTTTCCTCGGAGCCCCATCTGGCCGAACTGAAGAATTTGTATTTTTCTCAAGCAATTGGAATCTGTCGCCTTCCTGTTCCAATACTGGCATGGTTTGCTTAACAAGTGGTTCATGTTTTATTTCGGTTACCTTTTCTAAGGCAGGGATCTTGCGCATAGGAGAAGTCACTGAAAGCTCATGTTCCGATTGGCCAGAAAGCTGGGCAAGCGGCTCAGAGTTCAAGTGTACTTCCACCGGCTTATGTGATGAGGAACTGGGTTCTTTTTGAAGGTAATAATACAGTAGATCCTGTAAGGCTCCAGCATTCAGAAATTGCTCCAAATCAGAGTCTTCAGTGCAAACCTTGTAGGGAAGATCTTGGGATCCTTCACGACTACTGTTATAAATACTGATTTCAGAATTAACAACTAAATTGGTTACGGGCTCCCTTAATGTTGGAGGGTGCAACAGAGTTTCCTTTGATTTCGGTTGAAGGTTAGGTTCTTTCAGAGAGTTCTGACTTAAGCCACTTGTTTCAGCCCTTTTTTAAGTGGACATGATTATCCACAACGGAGGTACTATTTGCCAATTTTTCTGCTGCTTGGACAGCCTTCATTTCAGAATTAACAACTAAATTGGTTATGGACTCCTTTAATGTTGGAGGGTGCAACAGAGTTTCCTTATATTTGAAAGACAACTGTAAGCAATTAACATCACTAGCAGGCTCTATCTCCAGCGTTATCTGAAGATTTGTAAGATGAAATTGCTACCTATTCAAGCTGATTTAATTTTTTATTTTAGGTAATGATGTAACAAGAATAGGAAAGGAAGTGAAATGCAAAGATGCAAAATTTAATTTTGTAAACCATTAGGTGGGTGGGCGGGAAGTCACCAGGCTCAGTAGAGCCAAAGAGATATACGAAGAAGGTATGATGTTACGCTATGTGATTATATGTAAAAACTAATAAAAATTATTATATACAGTGGTACCTCAGGTTAAGTACTTAAGTCGTTCCAGAGGTCCGTACTTAACCTGAAACTGTTCTTAACCTGAAGCACCACTTTAGCTAATGGGGCCTCCCGCTGCTGCTGCGCTGCCACTGCGTGATTTCTGTTCTCATCCTGAAGCAAAGTTCTTAACCTGAGGTACTATTTCTGGGTTAGCGGAGTCTGTAACATGAAGCATATGTAACCTGAGGTACCACTGTATATAAAAAAGAGAACAGGAAATGTAGCCATCAAAATTAGGACACAGTTGCTTAAAGGAAGACAAGTTCTGAGTTAAAAGAAAAGGTTTTAAAAACTATTTTTGATTGTGAATTTTACTATAGTCTTTATTTTAAATGGCAAAACCCATAATAAAAAAAATCCTTCCAGTAGCACCTTAAAGGTAAAGGGACCCCTGACCGTTAGGTCCAGTCACGAACGACTTTGGGCTTGTGGCACTCATCTGGCTTTATTGGCCGAGGGAGCCGGTGTACAGCTTCCGGGTAGTTTGTTATTGGTATGAACTTTGGTCTCTAAGGTGCTACTGGAAGGATTTTTTTTTTTGTTTCGACTACGGCAGACCAACACGGCTACCTACCTGTAGGCAAAACCCATGAGCATACATATTTGCATTTTTCTCTCTGCCATGGATGTCTTGATAACTCTATATACTGTATCTGATGTTTGTGGTCTGCAGACTAAATAAAATAAACTAAAGTGCTTGAGCCAACTGAATGGAAGAGTCAACGCGAATTCAGTCAAGCCTTCATCCAGTGGATGCTGGAAACCCAGGATATGTAATCAGAATTACTCAGTAATGTGGGGAAAGGTGGAAGGAATTTGAGCAACAAACAATATGGGAGTGAAACTAGCCTCCTTTGAAAATCAGTTGCAGAATGCAGATTCCGGTAGGCATGGGAAAGGTTGCCCAATACACAATTGTTTTCCTTGATATGGAAGTATCAGTGGATACAATCATATTTTACCGTCTATCACATATCAGATAAATACTGCACCCCAGGGGGAAAGTGACTGCAAGCAACATCGATCAGATACTTGCCTGCTTTAAGTGACCTTTTGACCAGGAGAAGTGGAAGTTTCTAATGTCTTCCTGGAATCTGTGTTGAACAAAGAGAACTTTCCTTCCCCCACTCCAGTGGAAACAGGTGCATTTGAACTGGCCATCCAAATACAGTCTGCTAAACAAAATGGGAAGACTGGAGAGAATACATTCTGGGCCTCCTGATGGGAAGCTTTCATTAAGACACAGAGGAAGTTTTCTATTCACTAAGGTACAGTTTTGTCCTGTGGCCCCCTGCAGCTGAATGACCTCCCATCAAAAGGCATCCCCATCTATTGTCATGTAGAAGGATTAGGATCTGTCAGATCTCCCCATTCTTATGTACAGTAAGAGCAAAAGGAACCTACTGTGGACTTGACGGGGAAAGTAATTTTGGGTGCTGGAATGTAACAGCAGTCTTAGCTACAGATGTGTTTCACAGCTTTTCAGCTATCTGCTACAAATGCACTAGTGGTTAAAGAATGTGTAGTAGCCCTGCTTAGCCCAGGAAGAGAACACGCTAGATGGACCAGTTCCTACATGGGAAGTGGTGATGCTGAAGGGATAAGAGTTGCCACCTTTTAATAATAATAATAATAATAATAATAATAATAATAATAATAATAATAATAATAATAATAAACCCCATTCTTGTAACTTGAATAGCTGGCTGACACATCTGAACCACACACACATTCTAGAAACAAGGTAAGGTAACAAAATGGCCATAACTTAGACGTGGAAATGCCAAGCAGTTTGAATGACTTAGGAATCATAATCATTATATACAAGGGAAAAGGTTATTAATATAAGAGATATAATGACTAAAGAGGGAAGGTTATTAATACAAGGAAAGGGGTTGTTAATACAAGAGATATAATGACGAGTGGCAGACCAAGAAGTTCTAATCTAATCTCTCTTTTTTGACTAAGTGAGGAATGAAAATAAAAAGATTATAGAGAAGAACAAATTATATCGTGGAAAAGACAATATGTGGTTGCATGTTGTCTTTTTCCTTATTACTCCAGTAGCTGATGAACAAAGACCATCTCCCCCTCTCTTTCTCTCTTTTTTTGTTGCATATTCTGTGAGTCCCTAAAGTAACATGTAAGCAACTTCTCAGATTGTTCCTTAACCACATTGTTATAGCTGGAGATTTGGATGTCTTCCACAGTTGCATAATACACAACCTGGTTGTTATCAAAAGGACTTGAAGACCAACTCTTTCCAAATAAAGAAAAAGAGCTGCTTAATTAATTAATTAATTAATTAATTAATTGATAACCAGTGATTTATTTTATAGTCACTACCTTCAGACCTAACCTACTGCACAGGATTGTTGTAAAGTTTTTGGTGCTAAGAGGTCCTGGGAAAAAGGGCAACATGCAATTGCAAAAAATATCGTAAATATCAAAAAGTCAAAATATATGCATGTTTTCACTTATCGAAAGACTGGCAAAATGAGGAAAGAGAAGAATTCAATCTAAGGATGACGAAAAAGCAATTTCTTCATATGTAAAATGTTTGGAACATTTTATAGTTATGTTTATTTGTTGAACCAGAAAGTTGTGGGTTTTTTTTGAATAAACAAACAATGTGGAGTATTCTTTCATGTAACATTTTCTGATACATATAATTGATAGGTACAGCTTGTACTATGCCTTTGGGGTGATTTTATGTGGAAGTCATGAATCTTTGCAAATTCTATAAACAGGGCCTGCATTGCAATCACATTGGGTGATAATGACAATGACACGCCCTGAACTTACATCAGAAAGAAATTCAAAACAGTTAGAAAGGGGTTCATAGCATTGAGAGACAAATTCACTTAGTTTTTTCTGCATTACAGAGCCTTGAGATGTTGGGGATTACTTGGCATAGTAGTAGATTGCATGCAGAGTAGAGGCAAGAAATTCACCAAAACATAAAACTTCACACCAGGTATGGGGAATTGGTGACTTTCCCAATGTTGTTTGGATGCCAACTACCAAGGGAGTTGCAGTCCAATAATTGGAGGACCACAGTTTCCTCATTCTTACACATAAATTGCAAAGCTTCCCAAAGTTAATGTGTTTACTGCATATTTGCAAGTTTGCACATTTCTGCTTTCCTCTCAGTTGCTAATAAGTCCTCATCCCTCCAGCCAATAAAAACGAAGGTTTATTGGGGATTTACTCTCAGCTCAAACCATCCCCACAATTCTCAGAGTGGGGGTTTAACAATCACTCTTCTCAGAAAGCTCTGGAAATTGTAGCTCTGTGAGAGGAATAGGGGTCTCCTAAGAACTCTCTGCATCCTGAACAAACTACAGATCCCAGGATTCTTTGAGGGGAAACCACAACAGTTTTAAGTGGTGTGATACTGCTTTTAATTATATAGTGCAGATGGGGCCTATGAGAGGCAAAACTGAGATAAGAAAACATATTTTCTTTGCAGGATGAAATTCAACACATGCCTTTCCATGTTAAAAAGCTGTTATTTGCTTTAAAGGACATTTTCATCCAGTTTGTATTCATAGGATCATTATTCATTTTCAATCAAAAAGTGCTTGTGAAGGTTGTATGGGGCTTGCAGAGTCCCTAGCAAATCACATTCCTTGTAAAGTGGAGATTTGGCAGATATGAGGCACCAGATTCAATCCCTAGTTTTTTCTGCCAAGGATCTCAAGTTTCAGACGTGGCTACTATCTCTCTGCCTGCTGTCCTTTGAGATTTGCTGGTTGCTTGATTTGTTGCTAGTGAGAGTTGACAGTGCAGGCTAAAGTCCTCTGACCTCTCTCACCGGCTGAACTCCATGGAAAAACATCAACAAACGGCATTTGTTGATATTACAATAACTTGAAGCCTAAGAGATGAACACCAGATTCCTATGACTGTTTTGCTCCCAAGTAAGTCCTGTTGCATGGGGCTTACTCTCAACACGCACTTAGGATTGCAGCCTAATTTTATTATTTTTATTTATGTATTTGATAATATTTTTAGCCTGTCCTACACCCAAAGATCTCTGGATGCGTTGCAGTCTTTAGAATAAGAGATGACCAACATCACAAAAAGGGCTACAATATAGTATATGGTTTCTACAATGATTCAGCACGCCAGAGGTTTGCAAACAATATGCATGTTTTGCCGCAGCTGGTAAAAACAAGCACCTATTTTAATATCCTTCAGTAGTGAGTAAACCTGGAAGTCCATCATTGCATCCTGCCCTTGGAAATAGCTCAGTGTTGACATTTTTTTACATTCTAGCATCAAGTTGAAACCTGGATTATCTCTGCCCAAGTACTGGGATATTATTCCCGTGCTAGGTTGTATGGCGTAATTTTAATTTTTGCTTTGTTATCTGCTATTTCTTTAATTGGCTTGGGTATACTATTTCTGTTTCTAAAGACTGCAACTTGTAGCCCTTTTTGTGATGTTGGTTATCTTTTATTGCGGCCACACACGCTAAACCCTGTCTGTGATGCCTACCCTTTCCCCCAAAGAATGAGACAAGAGACCAGAGCATGGGTTCAAATTGGCCACAACTTTATTCAGCCTAAGAAGTGAGAAACTTGGCATAGGCCTTGGCAGGTAGCCCTCCCAGCCCATCTGGCTGAAGATATGCAGGCTGATGAAGTCCAGTGGGAGGG